TAACTTTTTCATTCCTAAAATGGAAATTTTTAGAGAAATAGGCCCGCACAATGGTAAAATTAGCCCAGGAATATTTTTCACTTAATGTGCCTTTGCAGAAACTTGGTTTTTTGCTCAATATAGTTAAGATATTGCTAAATATAGTTAAGATATTACAATAATCTAATAACAAGTCTATTAACTCACTTACAAACAACTTGTTTTTATCTAATATTAATATTTTAAATATATAACAATAGATTTTAAATAGATTTTAAATAAATTTTAAATAGATTTTAAATAGATTAAACTAGATATTAAATGTATTACTAATAGATTTTAAATAAATTTTAAATATATTAAATTAGATATTAAATATAGGATTTTTTTTTGGTGCACCCTATGTTATATGATCAATGTGACCAATAGCCATTATACGATTTACAGCAATTTATACAATTTATTATATGATTTAAGATTATTAATAATAACTAGGAATTTTATTAAACAATCAATTTATAACACTTGCATAGCATGATATAACAATTATATAATACTATTTTGCACTACCCAAGTTACAACTATATAATAAAACTAAAACTATTTAATTAACCTTAACTAACAGCAAAACGATGAAATCCAAAACTCCCTAACCCTAAATAATAGCAAAGCAATGAAATCTAAAACTTCCTAACCCTAAATAACAACAAAGCGATGAAATCTAAAACACCCTAACTAGCAGCAAAACTGATGAATCCAAGATAATTATGGCAACCACCAATGATAATGACGAAATTGAGGACAAATCAGTGATGTAAATATCCAACGAAGAAAGCAATTTATTTCAACACTCCAATAATGACAACACAAATGATGAAGCTAATTATTATCTAATAATAACAAAACCAACAGCATGTGTTTTTATCACTCCAATAATGACGACACAATGACGAAGACATTGTGTGATGGCACTAGAAAAGCAATAAATAATAAACCAAAAGAAAAAAACATTAGTAAAAGCAAAAAAAGAAGGAAAACAAAATCAAAACAAAAAAAAAGAAGAAATCATATGAACCTAATATATCTAAAAACAGGAATTATAAAAGTTCTCAAGACCAACCTATTTAAAAAAAAGGCATTAGTAACACGTACACAAAAAAAAACTGCAACAAAAAAATGAAGTCATATATCTCGAATTCGCAAGTCATATGCTCCACAAATCTCAAGAAACTTAGAGACGCTCTAAAAACTAGAAGCATTAGTAACACATTCACAAACAAGAAAGAAATAAGAACAACGAATATAATATACAAAATCATACTTTCCAAGATTTTCAAAACAGATGCCCAACAGTTTTCAAGAAGCCTAACAATCCTAGAAAAAAGGGTGTGGCGACTTAGTGTAGTTGGTAAGTTGTCACACCCCCAAGTGGCAGGACAAGAGTTCAAATCCCACTGACAATAAAATTTGAATTTGCGGAAATGCGTTACAGTAAAACTGTATGACATATCGATCGGGTAAGCACCTGTGACTTTGGTCTCACCAACTCGTATTGGGAGGTTGTAGAACGTAGTGTGACGTATGAGTTATACGAAACCTGAGTGAAGCAGCCAAATAAATCAAAGGGATCAGAGGATATGGAAGCCCGCTTGAGAAGTCCCGAATAGAGAGATAGCACAGATCTTTGACAACATTATGTAAAGGACTATCATCTGGGGAACCGGACACCATAGGCAAAACTGAATGAGGACCGAGTGTTTGGCAAGCACTATACCAACCAGGCCACCGGATCAGCCAAAGGAAAAGGATTCATTCGGAATACCAAGGGATGTCTACTGGTCTCTCCCGGGCCATCTGGATTGGAAGTTTGGGGCACCGATAGTTGACATCGAAGTACTGTTGATAGTCCGTAAAGTGGGTACTGGGGTTTGGGTGAACTTTGCAAGGGCACAGAGTAGGTAATGGTAGTGGAGGTAAAAAAGCTGCAAATACTTGGCCACGGCCTAGGCGTAAGTTACTAAAAATCTAGGTGATATATGTATGGAACATGGACCGCTCTGGTAGGTTTATCACGAGGATAAAGGACCCCCTATATAAGAGTATGTATCTGCTTTAAAGTCCTAAGAGGCCTTAGCACTGTTCCTCTTTGGGGAGAATATCCCGACAGTGCTAAGTTGATCAGAGGGTTTAATTGGGTAACTCAAGTAATAGTGGATTACAGGTACAACATCTAGTGTAGTTCATATGGGTTACATATACAAGACTGCTTAAATAGACAATCAAAAGTTGTATATATGGCTAGTATGTATTCTCGTTAATGTAACAAAGTTAGGTGTAGCCCTGTGGCTGCCCTGGTATTCGATCCAAAGTTTAATAAAACGTGCCAGACCCCAAAGTGGTCACCTTAATATTAAAAAAAAAAAAAAACAATAATAGAATACAAGATAATAATATAATAATATAATAATAATAATAATATAACTAATAATAACTAATAATAAACTTAATAAGGGGTGTGGCGACTTAATGAAGTGGTGAAGTTGTCGCACCCTCAAGCGGTAGAGTATAAGTTCAATTCCCACAGAAGGCGAAAAATTGAATTTAGAAAAACGGATTCGGCAAATATCATCGTGGCTTGGAAAACTCGAGATCCTGTAACTGTGGTCGTACTAAGATAAAAATTAGAAGATTCTGGGGCATTTGTGTAATAAAGGAGTTACACAAAGGCATGCAAGCTAGTTTAGTCGGTGCAAACCCAAGATAAGACCTTTCAGAATCGCAGAAAGCCACAGAGCCAATACGGTGGTGGGGCGCTCGCTTGAGAAGTCCCAAGTAGAGAGGTAGCACAGATCTTCAACGATACTACATGCAGATTACTACCTGGGGAACTGGATAAACTGAACAGGACCGAAGTGTTCGGCAAGGCACTCCACCAACCAGGCCGCCGGAGAGTAACCAGAGGAAAAGGACCCAATCGTAGGGACCAGGAGCAGGTCACAGCCCTTCCAGGCCATCTGGATTGGTAGTTTGGAATTGATGTTATGACCGGAAAAAGTCTGTAGGTGTATCGGGGTTTGGGTGAACTCTATAAGGGCAGTAGTAGGTAATGGTAACGGCTTCGGCTCGCAGGTACTTGGTCTCGGCCTAGGCGTAAGTTACCGAAGAAGACTAGGTAATACAGGAATAGTAGGTACCGGACTGCTCTAGCAGGTGATGCACTCGAGAATGAATCGGTTAATCATACCGGTAGTCCTATAGATGGACACAACGATCTCGGAACTTGGACTGACTTATGTATCGCATGTTCTGGGTGAGATTAGATAGGATTGACATGTACTTGTCTGGGGCCTCTTTGATAAGGGCACCACATGATTCTAAATATCTAATAAAAGTGATAAGCCAAAGAGGCTAACCTTGACTATAAAAAAAAAAATAAAATAAAATAAACTTAATAATAAAACTAATGCTACAACTCATTCTATAACAATAGTATTAAAAATTATAGACAAATTTGCCTACAATTGCATATACATTAAGAAATATTTTATTTACTATAGCAAAATTTTTTAAAAACTCAAAAACACTGGGCTAACTTATACTAAATTGTAATAAAATTTACTAAAAACTAGCAAGCTTTAACAAATTTTAAAAACACAAGTATCGAATAAAAGATCTTTTATTTAAAGGAAATTAAAAGAAAGATAAAGAAATAAAAATAATTAAACAGGATTTAAATTCAATAGTCTATAAGAAGTTAGCAATAGGCAATTGTGTTTGGAGTTGAACCTATTGTCTAGTTTGTATAGGTCAGATTTAGCAAAATGCTTGCTCTGTACAAGGATTATTAGACTTAAAACTTAGAAATATTCTAAAATATAATCAGAGGAAAAAAAGCATTAATAATCAGACTGTCGACAGCTATATATGGTCTTTAAATCCTAATAATATAAAGCTAGTATTTGCCAAAATACTATTTATAAAATCAGCTTTCACTTTATATTATTGACAAAAAATGAACAAAATTTATTAAAAGAAAAGATAAAATAGATAAAAGAGAAAAATAAAGAATAGTTTTTATTAATAATGTCAAGAAAAAAATAAATAAAATATAATTTTATTAAAGAAAATTTGGTTGAAGTGTAGTATAGGTGGTCATATATAATTATTATATAATTATAATATATAAAAATCAACTATTTTGAATCAAATCAAGTAAATTTATAAATAGTTAAGGTTAGAGTTAGAGTTCTAATATAAATTAGCTCAAATTAGATAGGTTTTATATATTATAATTTTGTAATAATTTATATATAACCACCTATACTGCATAAGATCTGAAAATTTAGATAGAAACAACTCTCCTTTTTAGAAGGGCAAAAAGCTATCCTTTTTATAATTTTTAGATCAATATTTGATTAATGGATTGGATTTACCTGTACTAGATTTAGTACATTGTACTAGATTTAGTACATTGTATTAGATTTAGTACAAGAAATATACTAAAAGTCTCACCAATTAAAATAAGATAACTAAGCTTAAAATTAATATGCAACTTACTTACGTCATGGGCTTCTGTAGTAAATATTATAGGCTCGTCAGAGTTTCACGTGAGACAGAATCATGCGTTAATTACGGAAATTTGTTGTCAGATAGTAAAATGTATCAACGATCATATTAGGTAAATCAATTGATTTAAAAAAGTTAAAATTGATAAGTAAGTGGGCGTTATATACCTGATTTGTAAATATGATGTAATCAAGAAATTATTACAATATAAAAACGATTGTTCAAAATAAGTTAAAATCGGTTGGCATTAAATTATTTAAGCAAAAATCTTGAAAAATTCTTGGTCGTCAACCCCTTTGCGATCATAAATTAGGTGTTTTTGGTGCCCAAGGTGCTTGTCATGAGAGAAAACCAAAGATGAGTACCAGTAAGTATCATGCATACATAGGAGTATGTGAAAATTTTTTTTTTATTTAAAAAAAAAAAAAATTATTAAATTTTTTTCCAACCTTGTAATGGGACGAATTTCACCGAATATTAGAGAAGGTGCCAAGGTTTCTGTTTTGGGCCCGGTTGTGGGTGAAATCATAGCTCGTCCACTATTAGGTGAATTATGGAAAACCAAACGACTTTCAGCAACTGTTATACAAGCAGCACCAAGTAAAAATAAAAATCGTTGGGTAATTTCTCTTGATTTACAACCAGAAGCAAGAATTGAAGTTGCGGCAGGTCATATGAAGTTTGAGGGTTTTTTCACAAATAATTCAGATACTAATCAATGTATGAATGATGAATCAGAAGAAGAAGGTGTTGGTGAAACGGATATATCAAGCGATAGCGATCGTGATAGTGACTGTGGTCAAAATGAGGATGGAGAAGCAGTAAGCCTTAATGATGCAAATAGTACATTATGGGCTAATAAAATCATTACCATTGACTCCCGTCAAGTTTCCTACTCTTACTCTAGTACACCAGTTGTACACATTGGAGATATTACCAATGTAATGCCCAGACAGTTTTTTGAGCATTTCATGCCCGTTGATTTTATAAATTCAGTAGTGATTCCATCTACGAATAGATGTGCACGTGAGTGTGAAAGGGGATGGCATGATTTAACTTGGATGGAATTCATGAAATTTATTGGTATCTTAACCATTATGACCTATATAAAATGCGCAGATATTTGCGATTATTGGTCCAATAAACAAGACACAAAGAGGATTTTATTGACATTCGGTCAGTATATGCCACACCAGCGGTTTCGAAAAATTATAAAATATTTGAAACTAACTGATGATGTATCGGAAGATAATGATGATCCCTTTTACTTTGCGCGCCAGTTTCATGATGCATTTAATGAGAATCTTAAAATGGCTGTTTCACCTAGCACTTATCTTTGTATTGATGAATCAATGTGCCAATGGATGGGTAAGGTTGATAAAGGTCCATTCCAACAAAAAATACCAAGAAAACCCCATCTAATTGGTTGCGAATTCAAAACCATTGCAGATGCACAGGTTAATTTGCTTCTAAGACTAGACCCTGTAGAACCTCCGGCATATATTACAAAAAAAAAATTTTCAGACCAATATCCACCCACCGTTGCATCTGTATTAAGATTAACTGAACCATGGTTTCGTAGTGGTAGAACGATTATTGGCGATTCTTGGTTTGGTAGTATAGATACATGCACTACTTTGTATAACCATGGCCTTTATTCTATTCTACAAATAAAAAAGCATCGTTATTGGCCTAAATATATCCCACATGATATTATAGATGCACTTGAGGATGCATATAGATCATTTGTTAGTCGAGCTCGCTCAATAAATAATGTCGATTTAACTGTGTGTTCACTTCGTGATCGCAAAAAAATTGTACTTCTTGCTAGTTGTTTTACAACAACTCTTGGATCAGAAGTAAAGCGGTATATCAAAGATTGTAGCAATGTAACATTTCATCGTTCTGTTTTATTTGATGAGTATTGTGAATATAAATCGGCTGTAGACATTCTCAATAATTTGCGTAATAACACACTTTCATATCATGATGTTCTTGTATCAAAATGTTCAGTTGATCGTATCTTTGCCTTTTATCTTTCAATTGTAGAGGCCAATAGCTTCTTCGCATATTGTCGATTTGTCCCGGAAAAGCAAAATATAAAGCACGTTGACTTCCGGAAGCAATTAGTAAGGTTGAATTTCGATTACTATTTGGGTATACCGGTTGCAGATTGAACCTGAAAAAGACAAAAACAAGATTCGGATGATATTGAACATCACTTTACTATACTTAATAATGCCCCTGGAACTTCCCGGCTCAAAAGCAAGTATGTACAACGCCAATGCGTGGGGTGTCATAACCGTACAACTACCTGTTGTAGCTGTACAATTTCATGTGCAATGTGTTCAGATTGTTAGGCCCGGCATATTCGTTTATTGTACAGTGCATTATAGTAAGGCCAATTTTTTTTATTTTATTTTATAGTTTGAGGTTTATTTAATCATTCTCTAAGATAAATTATAATTTTGTTTTTTGTAAAGTCGTCCAGCCAAGTTTAAAAATGTACTAGATTTAGTACATCCATATTTCAAAATAATGACATATCTTAAAATAAATTTTTTGAGATATTTTTATTATAAATAAAAATAATTTTTACAATATTGAATAAAGTAACATATATTAGTTTTTAATTATAAAAATTATTTAATTTTAATAAGTTTTGATACTTCTATGAATTTTATAAAATATACTATTTTTAGTACAAAATAGTAAATCCAATCCATTAATTTTAAGGCTACTATGTGTTGTATAGTATTTTTAGACACTCCAAAACGTTTGAAAGATCTTAACAATATAGAAAATCTAAGTAGAATCTTCTAAAACACCAATAAACAGTGCCGAGTTAACACCAAGCCAAATCATATTCATTAATACTTGGTGCTCTATTACTCAATAAGTTACATATTAACTAAAAATAAAACACATATCATTGTGTAGCCCTTATGTTGATCTACAAATCCTATTATAG